TTCGTCTTGCTGCTGTAGACTGAACACTAGCTGATCTTTTGGAATTTGTCAGACCTTCAGCGCCAGATTGGGACTACTGAGACATCCAGCCTTGTGGACTGAGTGACTACGGAGTCTCAGCCTTTCCAGTGTGGTGCAGCCATTGTTGGGCTACTCGGATTCTATCCTGTGAGCTAAGCTGATAAATCTCTATACATATATATTCATTCTACTGATTCTGTTTCTTTGGAGAACCCTGACTAATACATATATGTGTGTGTGTGTGTGTGTGTGTGTGTGTGTGTGTGTGTGTATGTATATGTATATATATGTGGGGACATCTTGGGAAATTAAAAAAACACAGGTCTAGGATTGTCTTCAGGTGCTAAAATCCATGCTTTGACAGCCAGCACTTCAGACGAAAGTGACAGAAGTAGAGGAGGAGGAGAGAGAGCAAGTGCTGGCGAACGGAACAAGAGTGCCTGAGGAGAGGAAATCAAGAAGAGGATGTGGCAGAAACACGTGGAAAGTCCAGGAAGAAAGGGAAAGGAGCAGCAGCGCCTGCCAGGGCTGCAGGCCAGGGGGATAATTCCAGAACTGGTAGCAATCAGAAGTGGCCCATTTGGCAAGACCCACCCCTCTACAGGGCGGTGGTTGCCATCCTCTTTCCTTCAAGGAATGTTTTCACAAGTTTTTCCAGCTCTGGCTAGGCTGGCTTGCTTGCTTCTATCCAATGTTAAGAACTTGGTTTCCCATTGACTAACAAGCTACAATGCGCACTTCTTGTGGGGGAAACAGTATCAGAAACTTGGGGGTGGGGAGCTCTGGGCTGTCAGACTCCTGATCCAAAGCTGCTTCACTCTTGGTTTCTTCCTCTCCTTTCAGGATCTTCTTTTGGCTCAGTGGATCTTTTCAAACCCCTTCCTCTAAGATGACTCATCAACAAAATTCTTCAGTTACTTTCTGAGTTGAAATAGGCTTATTTGACAGAAATTAGACGCTAATTAAACATACGTGATTAGAAGGTAGAGGCAATCCCTTAAAATTCACCCGATTTCTTTGGAGGGAGGAATTATGGTATATATTAAAATAGGGGAATAGCTGTATCTTTCTGTAAACCGCAACTGCCATACCACTTGAGAATCGCCAAAACACAGCTGTTACATAGACATACAATCCTCAGCTGAACCCTTGCCTGGGGATTTAAGTGTTCTGAGGAAGGATGGAGAACTGCTAGACTAGGAGGGCAGTTGAGTTACTCTGCTGTCAAACATACACGAGATCTTCCTATTTTCAAACTCCATCTCTTCTAGAAGTCCTTAGTGCTGCCAGTTCCTAAACGGTGGTGTTCTTGTGGGGGAGTGCACTAGGTTGCTTTCTGGCATCCCTTCTTCTATCCTGCACTTGCAGTTTAGCTTTCCTAGCCTGCTAAATCAAGTACTGCTTATATTTCCATTTTCCAGCTTCTAAAATCTTACTGCTATTATTTCTCATCAGTTTTTCTTGTCGTTCAGTGCCCTCCCCACTTCCTGAAACACTTTATTATTGTGTGACTTCTGATTTCAGAAGGGAATAGAAATGCATGTGTATGGTCATTCAACTTTGACAAATTTGGAAAAAACAGATATGACATTATTTTAAACTGACTTTCACGTTTACTGGAATTTTCCAGGCTCTATCTTTACTCAGAGACTTTGTTCGCACTTCTCCCTCTGCTTGGATGTCCTCCTATTCCCATCTTCCTGGCTAACTATACTTACCTTACCAGCCTGCCACATTATCACTTCTCCTGGGAACTCGCTCATGGCTCAGAAACCAAGCAGGTATCTCCACTCGTCTCTTGTTGAGAACCTAATATTTCTATATGCTAACCTAATTAAATGCAAGCAATTGTGTTCTGTTTCCCCTGATCAGTACAGGCTCTGTGAAGACAGGAATGAGTCTCTCTCTCTCTCTCTCTCTCTCTCTCTCTCTCTCTCTCTCTCAATATATGTATATATATATATACTTGTTTTATTCACAATGTCTTATAATCACCTCTCAATACATCTCAGTTGAATAATGGGTTAATTAATGACTTTATTAGAAAGAAAATGATATAAATTTTAGAAATATGATTTTAAGGACTCTTTCATTTTTAGATTCCACTATGCTCGGTTAGCAGGTCTGCTATGGACTCATTGGCTTGATAAATGCTTATTTTGAGTCTGTTCTTGGAAAGAAAAGAATTGCTTAGGAGAGAGAACCTAGGTGGAAGAGGCGATATCATCTACTTTCTAATCCATGTGCTGGGCGGTGTCAAGGAGAGAAGACAGCTGCACTGACACTAACACATCTTTAATCAGACCATGAATATCTAGCTCCCAGAACAGTATTGCCATGAAAAAAATGCTCATTGTTGAGTTAATAAACAAAGTGGCCTTCGTACTTTATAATATGCCCCCCAAGCTACAAGCACTCTTTGTGATATCTCCTTTATGTTACCATTGAAGATCATTTTGCATATTTTTAGTTGTATGTTCTGATGATAGAAAAGTCAATATATTGTTTGCTAGGTTTGGGGAGGTTATACTATTTTAAGGATTGCCATTATCCTACTTCATAAGAGTCTTATTTATTAGTCTACTTCATAAGTATTCCATAAGTTTATGCATAAGAATGCCAGTGTAACTGAGCTTTTTTTTCTGGGGCTTATTTGGCCTCTCAGGGAAGACAGCAGAGGAAACATATGCGTAAGAGCTGAACAGTTTGTCTCAATGGGATGGAAGAAGGTACTCTAGCCCAGCTGGCCCCAGGAGATTAACAAAGGTTCCTCTGGCAGAGTTTAAGACACTCTCTTATAGGATATGATCACAGGGAAATGGGATTTCTCTTTTGGTATATATAAATTGCAATTATATGGCAGTTCTTGAAATTCCTCAGCTGGGACTTTATTAGGTTCCAAGAGGGAAATTACACATTAGAGCATGCTGACAATATATTGATAATGATTGCTAAAATGAGATAACTTGAACTGAGGTATAACAGGATCATTGAAATTGTGTTGTCACCAGTTAGCAATGGCAGCTATGAGTTTCAGGATGGGCCTCAGTGCTATGATAAAGATTTACTTTTCTTTTTTCCTTTCTTTCTTTCTTCTTTCCTCCCCACATCGCTCTTTCTCTGAGGCAATGTCTCATTATATAGCTCAGATGGCCTAGAACTTTTTCTAAAGCCTTTCTGTGGCCTTAAATGCATAATTCTCCTTCCTCAGTCTACCAAGTGCTGGCTTCACAGGCATGTAAAACTTGCCCAGATTTCTTTAAGACTGTCCTTTATCATATAAAGCATATTCAATTCTCACATAAACTCTATAGTACAGTTATAATCTTTGTTTTTTGTTCAGATGAGAAAATCAAAGTAGAGAGGCAAAAGCTCCCCAAAGTACATGGAAAGCAAATGTTTGAACATGTTCTTAAGGACAGTGGTTGAGTTGTAACTTCTATAAACATCTTAAGATTCCTGGAGAGTTATCATTCAGGTATATCCTAGAATGAATGGGTTTCTCTCCATTGTCTTACCTCATATGGAAAAATAAAGAAAGAAACCAGGCCAGTTAATGAAGGTCTGTAAGCAGCTGGGATTACAGGAGAGGTGGGATAAGGCAACTTAGTGAGACCTAGTTTCAAAATAAAAAAAGTAAAAAGAGGGCTGGGGATGTAACTCCATGGTAGAACACTTGCCCAGCATAAGCAAGACCTTGGGTTCAGTTGCCAATACTGAGAAGAGGGAAGGGAAGGGAAGGGAAGGGAAGGGAAGGGAAAGGAAGGGAAGGGGAGTGGAGGGTAGCTGAGTGGAGGAGAGGGAGGGGAAGGGAAGGGGAGTGGAGGGTAGCTGAGGGGAGGAGAGGGAAGGGAGGGGAAGGGAAGGGGAGTGGAGGGTAGCTGAGGGGAGGAGGGGAAGGGAAGGGAAGGGGAGTGGAGGGTAGCTGAGCGGAGGAGAGGGAAGGGAGGGGAAGGGAAGGGGAGTGGAGGGTAGCTGAGCAGAGGAGAGGGAGGGGAAGGGAAGGGGAGTGGAAGGTAGCTGAGGGGAGGAGAGGGAAGGGAGGGGAAGGGAAGGGGAGTGGAGGGTAGCTGAGGGGAGGAAAGGGAAGGGAAGGGAAGGGAAGAGAACAAAGACTAAGAAGACTGGCAGGGTTTTATGTACTTTGTTCAAGTTGTGAGCCTGAGCCTTTGATGGCTAGGCCATCACTCCAGCATGGTTTTATGTATTTTGTAGCATTGTGTAAACTAATCTTTAACCTAAATATTGAAAATATAGTTTAGTATTTGACAACTCTAGTGAAGGAAATATGAATTATTTTGGGATCATTTCAAGGACAGAATGTGGTGTATCTATACCTCTTTTGTTTGTTTGGTTGTTGTTTTGTTTTGAGACAGGTCTCCATCCATTCCTTTAGTAGGCTCAGGGATACAAATAAGTGCATCAGTGCATACCAAGTCAATATACTGATAATGACTTCACAATCCTCCTGCCTCAGCCTCCCAACTGCTGAGATTATAAGTATGTGTCATTATGCCCAGCCATTTATACCACATATACATTAAGATTCAACCCAGGTAGAACTATTCTCTAAATTTTCACCCATTAAAATTTATGTCCTTAAAGTAAAGCTGTCAAAGCAATGTCCTGATGGATTCTAATGGCGGCATTTACATCTTGTTTTCCTTAAACTCTTAAAGTATGTTTGTTATCGTTGTTGTCCGGCAGTGCTTGGAGTTGAACCTACAGCCCAACCATGTTCTTTTAAAGGGATTATCTTTCTACTTACATGCATATTACTGTAACTTTCCACAAATTTTATTTCTGAAAGTAACTGTCAAATTATCTATAAAAATGTCATTTGTAGTATTTGTGAGAAATAGTTTGGATTTTACCCAAAAGCAATACATAACCAGAATAGTTTTTTCAAATGTTTTTAGGTAGTGTTAGAAATGTCAGCATGCACTTTGATTTCTTGCCTGTTTCTTTTCTTTTTACAGAAAAATCTGTCATTGCTCAACCAATATTTGTTTTTGAGAAAGGAGAACAAACTTTTAAGGTGAGTTCAAACTACTTTTATTTTATTTGGACAAAGATAATGATATTTCTAGGGGCTGGAGACATGGTTCTGTCGTTAAGAGCACCTATTGCCTTTTCAGAGGACCTAGGTTTGGTTCCCAGCACCCACATGAGGGCTAACAGCCATCCTTAACTCCAGTTCCAGGGGACCCTATGCCCTCTGCTGACCTCTGTGGATGCTGCATGACATGGGTGCACTTACGTGCATGCAGGCAAAACACTCACATTCATAAAAAATTAATTAAAAAAATTTTAAAGAAAATATTTCCAGAAGGCAGTTATATTAAGATGTGGCAACTGCAGAAGTTTAACTTGCTGTCCTTCACTAGCAGAATAGTGCTTCCAGAATATTCACACAGTTAGGACTTAGAGATATCAGTTTGGCTGAAATCTTTTAAGTTGTGGATAAAATGCTTTACCTAAAATAATACACATATTTGAAATGAGTTTAAAAGGTGAGGACAGTAAAAGATTAGGAAGGTTAAGGATCCTCTTGGATCAGCATTGGAATTCATTCTTACATGCAGTCATTCACCCACTACTCACAAAATGAACTGAAGCTCAACCTCTATCCTTTGTTTAAAAAGCAGATTCTTACCCAAGACCAACCATTCCAGAATCTTGAGAGTGGGTGCCTTCAAAAGTTGCATTTTAAACAAATTCTCACAAATGATTCTATAGTCATTGAAATTTATAACCGCTGGGCTAGACTTGGCTTTTGACATGTACTTGGTGAATGAAAGTGTGTTGCTTTGTCCTGGTGGGCCAAAGAACTCTAGCTGAGAGTCCTCTTATACAAGTGGCAGGGTGTAAATTTGATGCACACACAGCAGATCCTCAGGGCTTACTGCAGTTTTGTATCCTTTCAGAGACCTGCAGCAGATGCCCTGCATGAAGCAGCAGAACACGGTAATGATTTACATTCTGTGTTGTAAAACCAAACCCCAGTATCCACACAAAGAAAACAAGCAGGCACAACATTTTAGCACGTGGCACAGACTGTAAAACTTAATGGTTTTCCTTGCTTTTAAGCATGCATATAGATTGGCCTTTGTTTTGAAAGATGACGTACAGATCCCTGAGAATAGTGATATGAGTGATTAAACATCTCATTCTCCACTGTCTCTTAGTGTTCCAAATATTCTCTGCAAGGGCCCTAGAATGTATGTACAGTTTCCTGCAGAAGCCTCTCATTTCTAATTATTTCATACTAATATGATATGCCTGTAGGTTTATAATCACCTTATCATCCTTAATATTTAATGCTGGGCTTCAAGAGTCAGCATGTTATGAAATGATGACCTATGTATACAAAAGGAAATTGTTTCTCCTCGTGCATCACAAGTTGAGGGTAACCTGTCATTGTAAGCAATGTTACCCTTACCATCAAATTTCTTTCAGAATGTGGTGGTTTCTCAAGAAAGCGTGTAAGGTCCTCATCTTTCACTCTGCATGCTACAGAGTCTCAGACTCAAGGAGGTAGGGAGAGCCTTAACTATTATTCTGATTACGAAATTACTAAAAATCTTTCCAACTGGTCATTTAAAAAGAAACAACAATTGTCGGATTCCTACATTTCAAGAACTTTATTGTACACTGTATTCTGAGTCAGTCCGGAACTTAGTTTGCCTCCTTTCTACATTAAAACAGTCCAGTAATATTCTCCGTAATGGGTCTTACTGCTTTCAGGCTTGTAAACCAGCAAGTTATGTACACATCTCTCCACTCACTATAGGTTCATAGAGGGCATCTTCATGCCTGATAAAGTGTCCTATACACAGTCAGTACTCAAATACTTATTAAATTGACTGGAAATAAAATTAATTTATAATTCTTATCAGAGGCACTCTTCCCTTTCATTGATAAAAATACACACAGATCTCTGTGAGTTCAAGGCCAGCCTGGTCTACATAGTGAGTTCCAGGACAGCTGGGGCTACAGGGAAACCCTGTCTCAAAAAGACCAATAATAATAATAATAATAATAATAATAATAATAATAATAAAACACCACACTTATTTTTCTGAATTGGTGATCTATTTTTTTTCTCCAAACAACAAAACTTCAAATTAAAACAAATGAAACCCTTACTTCCTTAATGAGTTGAATTTGTGATCTGTTTTTAGTGGCAAACTTGTCTCAGAAGCGCCGGAGATCTTCGTCATTCACTGATGTCCCAACCTTCCCTCCTTCTGGGCCAGGTAATGATGTGATGCCAGCTTCTAGAACCTCAAGTTTGATGCTTTGGCTTCTCAAAATCATTCTTATTAATGGTGAATTTTCTTTCTCAGTTATCATAAGACCTTTATATTTTAAGCAACAAATAAAAAAAAAAGCCTGAGCAAAGTATGCAAATAGAAAAAAATTTTTTTAATGTGTATGCATGTATTGCCTGCATGTAGGTAAGTACACCCGTGTTTTGCAATGCCCAGGAGGACAGAAGAGGCTGTCAGATGCCCTGGAACTGGAGTTACGGACAGTTGTTAGCTGCCATGTGGGTGCTGGGATTCGAACCTGGGTCTTCTGAAAGAACAGTCTTCTTAACCACTGAGCCATCTTTCCAACCCCGCAAAAAGAAAATCTTATGAACACTAACTCCAAAATTCCAGAGAGCACATGTGTTGATTTTTGCAGAAAGTTTGAACTTGATGCTTTTTAGGACTTTACCTACAAAATAAACAGATACCCATACTTTAAGAACTTTGTTGGACTAGAGAGATGGCTTAGTGGTTAAGAGCACTGGTTGTTCTTGCAGAAGACCCAGGTTGGAATCCCAGCACCCACATGAAAGCTAAAAACCATTTGTAACTCCAGGTCCAGGAGATCCGATGCCTCTTCTATCCTCCGGGGGTATTGCACGACATGAGTGCACTTACATACATGCAAGGCAATACATTCGTACACATAAAATAAAAATCAATAAAAAAAAGAGTTCCCCCCAAAAGAACTTTTTTTGGTACACTGTTTGCTGAATCAATTAAGAATTTAGTTTGCTTCTTTTCTATATCAAGCACTTCAGGAAATCTCTTTACAATGGGTCTTATTGCCTTGTGCAATAAGTATTATTTTATATAAGGCAATTCTATAAAACTGCTTTTATTTTATTTAGCATTGTCTATACACATAATTTATACAGTACTCAAAATTCATATTCTAAAATTTAGAATGTAATTTTATTAGAGATTTTTCACTAATTAAAACACACTTCTCTTTACTTGAAATTTGTAATGTTTTGTCAAGTAAAATCATTTTATCACAATGAAGTATTTGAACTGGCTGGCATTTTCTCTACATTAAACAATGACAAATTCTTGGGGTTTTTATTTCTTTGGAACAAGCAACTGCTTTTTCCAAGTGTTTTCTGCTAAGAAATTCTATCTACCTATCTATCTATCTATCTATCTATCTATCTATCTATCTATCTTCTATCTACCATTATCTACCTATCAATCATCTATCAATCATCTATCTGTCTTCTACCTACCTATTTCACTTACCTATTTCACTTACTTTCACTTACCTTTTCACTTACTTTTATTTTTTTCACTTACCTATTTCACTTTCTCTATCCAGAAACTATAGAGCTTTCAAATCAATAACTTCACATTCTTATTAATAACTAAAGCATGGCCATGCAAGGAGCAAGAGCAAACCAGATACTTTTCAGTCACAGAAGAGTCACTTATCAGAACAGACAGAATCTAAATAACAAACTATAATACATGAAATAGGGGGCTTAATGCCAGAGGCAAAGTGTTCTGCTTTACTATCCTGCTGTATAGAACAAAGGGACAGCTTTAGGTTGTCTACATAACTACTTCATTTGAGGAGCTGGAGTGGATCAAAATTGCTCTCTTCCTCAGGGAGCTATGAGACTCTCAAATATTCTTTAAAAAAAAAACTTACATAAACTGCATTATAAAATGAATCCCAGGTCCCTAGTCCCTGGTACTTAAAATCTTAAAAATTAAGGAGTCAGTCCCCCCCCCAGATCCTCCCTCCCCCATTCCTGAGACTCCTTGGCCATAATCTTCTAGGTGGGACATCTGGCCCACAAGTCTCAGGCTCTCTGATAATTATGCACTAAAACGTCAATATTTGGGATGCCTACAATTCATCAGATAAGCACAGATCCCATGAAGGAAAACAAACCAGTAATGAGGATGGGACAGGACATCCCAAGGAAACAACATGATGAGCTAGGTCTGTCTTCTTTCCTCTAAACTTCTGTGAGGCAGTTAGTCCAGTGTTTTACCCCAAGCACCACTACACATGGGCACGTCTTTAATCCCAGCACTTGGGAGGCAGAGGCAGGCAGATCTCTGTGAGTTCGAGGCCAGCCTAGTCTATGTAGTGAGTTAAAAAAAAAAAAAGAAAAAGAAAAGAAAAGAAAAGAAAAAAAAGAAAATATCAGATACACAAAGACAGAACAAATCTGGGGACACCTATCAGTAAGTAATGTTCTACTTCATGTGTAAAATCTTAAATGGTGTTGGAAATAGGAAAATGGTACACTTTACATGGCCCATTTTTGTTGGTTTCAAATAATTAAATATAATAAAAATTATTAAATTAAGCTTTGAGTTAGACAAGTAATCCTATGACAACATGCATGTGATAATACTTTGAAGAATACTTCAAAGAAGTATCCCTTACTCTCTCGTCATCTCCGTCAGTCAGATACCCAGCAACTGCTGCTTCCGTACTTTGCACATAAGAGAGTCCCACCTTATAGAAATTCCATGTTTGCAGCCATGAGCAGTCTCACCCCGTTAACACACTTAGCGGCAAACAATCTTGCATCTTTATTTCTCTCTTTGGCTTCATTAAAGGAGGGTGGGAAGGTTTTGCTAATAGTTTTATGACATTCTGTAAATCTGTGTATCAGTACATGCAGGGTTCATTATCACCTGTGTTTGTACTCTGCAGAAGTTCTTACAGTATACAATTATAAGTACTATTGACTTTTCTGTCCCTGGCCTAATTTTAGACTTCTGAGAGTTAAGTGGAACTATGTAGCAAAAACTCACCCGGCAATCCCAGTTCGGCAGGACCAGCCCCTCTAATGAGCACTGCTTACTTGTTGTATTAGTGCCAATAGTGACATCTACTGGTGATCTCAGATAGGACTGTTCTACAAAAATGTGGAAGTTGACATGGATTTTAAATTTTGAAAATATTTTTCTTACAGTGAGAAAAAACAATGTTTTTATGACATCAAGTCTTGTGCAAAGGAATTCTGATATGAACCATGTAGAACAAGGTATGTAGCTTCAAGTTCAAGAACCTCAGAAATTCACATTTTACCACACATATTTTACCCCCCCATGCATATGCATGGTGTGTGTGTGTGTGTGTGTGTGTGTGTGCGTGCACATGTGCCCTGCGTGTATGTAGGTATGATACAGTGACAAAACATGAAGGACAAAAGTATTTGATAAGGCAAGTCTCCTAATCAAAATAAATACTTACTGGGCAAAGACTAGGCAAGAACTGAGTAGCAGGCAATTCACAGGTTATTCTGATTTTGATTAGCCCCTCAAAAGGTAGCCATAATGCTAGAAAATATCATTATATTAAAAATATAATGGGGACAAAGGAGAAGTTCACTAAAAATGTACTAATATTATTTTCAAAAGACAATTTTTCCCTATAACTCCAACTGGCCTGGAACTCCCTATCTGGCCAGGCTGGCCTCAATCTCATAGAGATCCACCTGCCTCTGCCTCCTGAGTGCTGAGATTAAAGGTATGCACCACCACACCTAGATAAAACATGTATTAATCTTTAAATTCTATTCTTTTAAGGTCCTGTGAAACATTCTGAACATATTCTAAGACCTGCTATTTTGCAGCCACCTCAAACACAAAGCTTTGAAAAAGTAAGCAAAACATTTGGGCATGATGCATCAAAGTCCTGCAAAATTAAAGAAGAAACAAAGCACAAGGTAAGAAAATCCTGCGATAGGTCCTACAGCAAATACTTTTGGTAATTGTATTAAATGTGTCCTCTTACTAAACTGGAAAGTTGTTCCATGGCCTAGATTTTATGGTCCCTGTCACTCCAAAGTGGAAAAGCTGTGTATCAGTTAGTGGGTACAAGTGAGCATAGCAGGCAGAGCACTGACAGTATGTGAATCAGGGAAGCAATGAAAGGGTCAGGGGCCAGAATCTGTAATTGACCAAAGGAGGGGTCTTTTCTGCATCCCCAGCTATTCAACACTGTAGTGTGGCTTTGCCATTTTAGTGACACTAGACTTGATGATAACAGGAGCAAGGATTCTATAGACAGAATAAATAGGTTGAGGCAGGGGGAACTTGGAAGACTCCAGAAACAAGTAAGAACACTCGCTTCTGATACTGAATGGTCTAAATAGCTCACTGTGAGCTTTTTGTTCAGGTTATGCAGACATGGGGTCAGGAATGTTCTGTTACTACACTCTAGGTGTGTCTTCCAGAAGAAACACTCAGGAGGAATGGAACACAAGATAGGTGGTCGGAATTTGAGTTACTCCATCAGCTATTTTTGTATGTGTTTAATGTGTTTTTAATGTGTTTAATCATTTATTCAGCAAATATGCACCAAGTGTTACAGGTGTGTTAAGTGTGTGTGTGTGTGTGTGTGTGTGTGTGTGAGTGTGCACACGTATGTATGCGTGCACATGCCTGTGTGAGTATGCATCCACATATTGAGGCTAGAGAATAACCTCGGGGTGTCCTCAGGAGTCCACCACCTTGCTTTTTGAGACAGGGATTCTCATTGGCCTGGGGTTCATAAATTAGGCTAGGCTACCTGGCCAGTGAGCCCCAGGGCTCTATGTATCACTGCCTCCCCAGCCCTGGGATTATAAGTGCCTGCCACCATGCCTGGCTTTTCGGGGATCCAAGTCAGGTCCTTATGATTGCACAGCAAGCACTTTTATAACTGAGCCATATCCTGTTCTCATGTATCACGTATTTTAAAAACAAAATTTATTACCCTTTTTCCATTTTCTGTTCAAATGATAAAACATATCAAGTTCTATATTACAAACATTTCTTCTCGAGTAATTCAAAGGTATAATGAGTAGATATTATCCCCAAGTATTGAAAAGCCCGATGAATATGCCCATTATTGAGTTTTCTGTTTCATGATGATCTTGAAGATCCCAAGATACAGTATAAAGTTCTGTGCAAGAATTTTGACCAAATGAATGTAATATAGATATGGTGAAAATTACTCCAAATGAACTTTGTAGAAGCATTATTTTTATGTTCCTTATTAACATATATCAAAATCAGAAGAATTGTTGTTCATCTTGTTGCTTTTTCAGTGAAATACTTTATAATGTCCATAATTAATGAATTGCAAATCAAGAGTGCCATTTTAATATAAAAGGTTAAGAAAAAAATTGAACTTGGTAACAGTCTCTTTTTCTAGTCTTTTAAACTTTTCTTTGACTTGGCATGCAAGCCAATGGGACCATTATGAGCTCTTTATGCATACATAGCCTTGTACTTTGTTCTCAACCACCCCTTGCCCTCCCTCCTATTCTGCCAGCCCCCTTCCTCCTCCAAACAATACTTGCTCTGCTTTCATGTCACATTAAAACCACATTCTGAAAATGATGCCCTCCTATTGGGTGTAAATTAAGCCAAATATAATTAAAACTAAGCAAATAAGAGTAAAAACTATTATTTTGACCAAGAGATCAATTATCTGAGTAACAGGGTCATTAGCATGTACTTTGATCTTGGCTAACATGGGCACATGCTCTCTTGTAGATATTTGTCAGCTTTTAAGTGCCTGTTATAAAGATAAATATTAATATTTTTATTTATTGATATAGAGCTGGATTTCTTCCAGTTCTAAAAAAATATCCCTCACTCCCACATTTATTACAACAGTTTAGGTAGTGTGCATTATGTGTATGCTCATAAAAGTCATCAATTGGCGCAGTTACCAGTATAAAATATCAGGATGAAGAATGAATGGAGTTTCCTCTTACACTGGGTGACTCTCATAGTGAAGCTTGTAGGGTATTTCCAGAGTAAGAATTAACTCCTGTAGCCTGATATGGTGGCACACACCTTTAATCCCAGCACTCAGAAGGCAGAGGCAGGTGGATCTCTGTGAGCTCAAGGCTAGCCTGGTCTACATAGTGAGTTTCGGGCTAGCTGGGGCTACTGGGAGACCCTTAAAAAAAAAAAAAAAAAAAAAAAAAAAAAGAATTAACTCCAGTATCAAGATTTCTGAGTATTAGGGACTAGAGAGATGGTTCAGTGGTTAAGAACACTGGCTGTTCTTCTTGCACAAGACCTGGGTTCGAATCCCAGCACCAACATGACAGCTAACAACTGTCCGTAACTCTGATTTCAGGGGATATAACAGCCTCTTCTGTCCACTTACCCACGTGCAGGAAATACACACATACACATAAAATAAAAATAATAAATAAAAATTAAAAAAAGATTTCTGAGCATTATGATGATATAGTCTCTGGTATCAGAGAGACTTGTGTTTAAACATCAGTTCTACTGTATTGTATGACTTAAGGAACTTATTATTTAAGGTCTTTATGTCCGTCGCTTTTCTCAGGTCTAAAATGTGTACAGAAATACAAAGTGTACTGAGTTGAAAGAGTGCATGGGATGATTTACATAAAGGGCTTAGGGCAATACTTGATCATAGTAAGCTTTCAATATGCTCAACTATGACTCTGTCTAAAGCTGCTAGAGTAAGGCAATTCTAAAAAAACTTTCTGATGGATTTCTTTTCTTTTAGATTTCTGAGGTTAACTTTAGTTTATTAAGTGAAAAGTTACCAAATACCAGAAATTCAGTCCAGCCCTCTACTAATCAGCATACCTCAGAGGCAACCTCAGTGGGGTAAGTTCATACATTTTCAGTCTCCCTTATCCAAAGTGTTGGGGACTAGAAGTATTTCTGATTGCTTTTTAGATTTTAGAATATTTGAATACGCATGATGAAATATCTTAGAGGTGAGATTCAACTCTAAACATTAGATTCATGTGTATTGATTTAGATACACTTTGGACATGCAACCTGAATGTCATCGTACACAATTGTTTTAACAATTTTGACTCTGACCCATCATATCAGGCCAGAAATTTTCTACTTACAATATGTTAGTGCTCCAAAAGTTTCAGATTTGGGATAATATTGTATTTCAGATTTTCTAGCTGGGGATGCTTGACCTAGTAAGAAAACAGAAATGTTTCCCTTTCCTTCATGCTTTTTTATCATAACTATTCATAAAATATAATTTTCTGAGAGTGTATGAATCTCATTTGAAAGCATTTTAATAAAAATGTGAGTTTAAATTTTTCTTCAAAAGATTTCACTCTCTTCACCTTAATATTGGATATTCCTTTATTATCTCATGGAGTTGGGTGAGAACATTTCAAAAACATGACTAAACTGTAGACCTAAGTTACCTAGTTATTGATCTCTCTTCCTCATTTTATAACATCCTTTGTTTCTCTAATTATTTTTGATATTATCTATTTAGTGGCATCAAGCTGCATAGACAAAGGGAAAGCGATCAACACCTCTAAAGTGAAAAGTTCAAGTTTCTTAGGATTGCTGGGAAGGAGGGAATATTTTATCTGAGAGAACATTTAAGCTAGCTGTCAACATACATCTACTCACAGGAGCAGGCTCCATCCAGATAGAGTGGCACTTGCCTTGGGGATGTAGTGCAGACCCCTGAGTGCATTCGCCATAAGACTGCATGTCTATGAATTTCTCATCACACAAGACAATTTTAACATAAAAAAACAAAGTTCCTTGGAGTAGAAAAATTAAAGCAGTACAGCTGGTAAGACACGTGGGCTTTGTCTGTTTTTTGTTTTTTTTCCCTGAAGACCTCTCATTACCAAAAGCTTCACTGGCCACTTAGGGCTGAGAAGAATGGTGATTAGAGATTGGAGAGGCTGTGCTGGAGAAGCAAAAAGGCAAGGGCTGTGCAGCCCTCTAGCTGGTCATGCAGCTTATCGGATAGTGACAGCACAAGATCATCTGTCCAGGTCAATACACTGCCATAACAGCTGGCAATAATACTTTGCATTTCGCCTCTGGAAGGAACTAGCTGTTTTCTCTTCATTTGTCATTTGCTTCAGATGAACAAAGCAGTAGGTTTATGTTTTAGATAAATATACTGAACCACTTAATTACTTTGCTTGCTAAGGCTTTAAGTGGCTCTATCCACAAATTTTAAATAGCAAGTGTTTTTTTTTTCTTAGATGCCAACCAAATGAAGATAAATGTTCTTTTAAAAGCTGCAGTTCTGACTTCGTTTTTGGAGAAAACATGGTAGAAAGAGTTTTGGTAAGATTCTGGTAAATGTTCATAGAGATAGCTGTCATTTCAAATTTCTGAAGGCAAATAAATTAAAAGCAGTGTTATGTTTGGAGCACACTTTTTAGTTCCTGGGATAAAAGCTTTAATTTCATTCTTTAACTGCAAAGATTCTCCTGGGAAGCATGTCCTAGTTGTTTGAATAGTAGATGGGAAGCCTGTAGAGGAAGGGAGCTGTATTAATCATTACATTACTACTGATGTGAAATATTAAGCAGTTCTTTGACTTGTGTTAAGCTGAAAGTGCCCAAGGAAATCCCAAAACTCTGTAGCAGATAAGCTCAATTGACAGTGATATTTTAATACAGTAGTTAATAGTGCTTCCTTTAAATTGTTCGACAGTTTTCACAGTTACATACTGAATTTTTGTCATCCCCCTCTCCCCATTCATTCTCTTATCTCCCTCCCACCCCTGCTGGAAAAACAAGGCCCCATCCTACCTTTGTTCGTGTCTTCCTTTTGTGTGTGGCCCACTGGGTTTAATCAGTTTCTTGTCTAAGCATGAGTAGGAGGTTATTTACTGGCTACACCACTGAGAAAATGGCACTCCATTTAAAATAACTTACCAATTATTCTTGCTAGTTACAGCTGAACCCTAAGATTAGAAATAATTATTATAACGTTTTCATGTCTCTAGCTAGATAAGACTCATATTAAACCTCGCCTGCACCCAGGGCTCGGGAACCATTGCGGAAGAGGGGTCAGAAAGATTGTAAGAGTCAGGGGTGGTGCATGACCATAAGGAAATAGAGTCCTCCAGGCTTCTAGGAACCTGCTCATATGAACTTACAGCAGTGTGACAGCATGCAACGCACAAGACCCATGCAAACTCATTCAGACAAAAACTTAGCATAGAGCTGGAGAAATGGTCAGGAGGCCCCAACCGTAGCTGAAGAACTATTGGCAGCTGACCACTGCTGGGTAAGGGCGAGTTATCTTCTTTAAGGGAGTGATACTTGATGGACTGACTAGGCTCCAGTGGATGAATTCACACTGAGGGACATCTAGGTACACAAACTTGACTTGGTAGGCCTTAACATATATGACAGAATGCAGGAAATCCTAAGGGTGGGTTATGGGGGTGCAGAAAGGGGAGGAGGCTAAATATGATTAAGATGTATAAAATACACAAAAATTCAATTAAAATACTCAACAAAAAAAGTATTATAACTTTTTGAGTTTTAAGAGGAAAATATCCACTTTGTTAGGGGAATATACCTGTTAAACAAAAACTCCCGTTATGTAATACCAATCATTCCCCTGCCTGCTGCTGCTGGGCCCTGCTCAGAACTCTTGATTTTTAAGGCAGCGTTATATAAGATGGGGAACTGAAGAGTTAAATGACATGCCTGCACCTGTGGTTTTATGGTGTCCCCACACTATCATGCCTCACAGAATTTTCTAATCTTTACCTAAACTAGGATGTGACTGAGATAGGCCTAACGTGGCTGACTTGTCTTAGGGTTACCTGTTACATGAGGCATGCTAATCAAGTGGCAGAGATTTTATGATCAAAGTACATGCTAAGTATGGATGAAAATGTCAGTATCATGGTGAGGAGGTGGGGAGATGGCTCACTGGGTAAAAGCACCTGCTGTTCAAGCATGGGAATCTAGTTTGAATCTGCATCACCCACGTAAAAACTATCCTAGCCAAAATGGTAGGTTTCCAGTTCAGTGAGACCCTTTCTCAATGAATAAGTTGGAAAGCCATAGAGGAAAACACCTGAAGACATCCTCCTCTGGCCTCCACATGCCTACACATGGGTGAGCATACCTGCACACTCATGTGTACACATACCATATACATACATATAAACACAATACAAAAAGAAAATGTTATAATGAAACCAATATTTTGTACAATTAATATATATGCTAATAAAAACTAGAAAAATCCTGAAGGATCAAATTAATAAAAGAACCAACTACAAAGCCTAGTTTATTCCAAGATTTGGGAGGTTGAGGTAGAAAGATAGTTTGGGGCCAACCTGGGCTACATAGTGAGACCATCTCAAGCAGAAACAGACAGAAACAAACAAAAAAAGATGAAGCTCACTTCCACCAATGTAAAATCTGTTGACCTACATCTTCGGATCTGAACTAAACTACACTAAGCAAGTTCTAGGGGAAAGCCCATGCAATGTATTTAAACATGTTTATTTGGAATAACATGTTATTTTTGAACATGTTATTTCCAAGCTTGACACTAGATGAGGCATGGGCTTCTGTAGGGTGCCAGGAACAATTAAGATGCTTTCTAATTCCCATAGATCAATGTCAATACTTAATTTATCAAAAATGTATCAAATTCTTATTGCACATAAGTCATTGGTTTCAGGACTGGATGCTCATTAGAACCATCTGGTGATGCTTTGAACATTTTTTGTGTGCTATGTGCATGCACATATCCATGCACATAGATTTGGAGACCACAGGGTTTTCATCCTCTGTGGTCTCCCTTGAAACAGGATCTCACTGACCTGGATGCTCATTGAACTAGGCTGGCTGGCCTGCAAACTCCCAAGACCCACCTGTCTCTCTTTCCTAATGCAGAAGTTATAGGCCTGTGTGGCTATGCCCAGCTTTTATATGGATGGTGGACATTTGAACTCAGGTCCAAAGCTTGCACAGTAAATGCTCTTATCAAGCCATTTCACCAAATCTATATCTGGTGAGCCTTTAAAGGATTTATTATGGCTGGGTCTCCCCCAAACCCATTAAGTCAGAATCTCTGTGGGCGATGTCAGGCATCAAGTGAGTCTAATGTACAGCTAAACTTGAAATCCACCTAAATAGTTGTGTGCGGCTAAAGGAGACAGAGGGAAACCTATATAAATGAATTACAGTTGAGATCATAAAGGTTTGAGCCAGTACTTGTCAATATTTCCTATGAACATTTGGATTTGGCTTATAAAAGGACTTGAGCTTCCTATTTCTCTCCATGAGGAGTACCCTAAGGTTACCAGAACTACAGATAGTTTGTATTTTTCCTATAATTAATCTTTTGAACCTGTGGCCTTATGATTTGGGGGCCAAGATGCATTCCTAATTTGTTGGTTGATCATGTGTTATGTGCTTTGAGAATGAGCCATTAAGCTTTCTGAGCCAGACTTTCTATTTTCTTAGGGTAAAAATAACTATACCTTGCCTCTACCAAGTTTAAGGGATGGACTCTATTTCCAATTAAATAATGTGAAGGACTCTTGAGTTCATAAAGGAAAAGATGTGGCTATGAGAATTTTGAAAGTTAATATTGGTGGATCAGGGAGATGACTCTTGTATTAAAGCACTTGCCACCAAATCTGACTCACTACCTGAGTTTGATCCCTGAGAGCTACATTGTAGAAAAAAATCAATTCCCACAAGCTTTCATCTGACCTTCACACATGCAACCTTGACATGTGTGCCTACACACACTACATGTAAAAAAAAAAAATTAAAAGTGAATGTTGGTAGAAACTGTCTTGGAGGAAAAGTGAGGGTTCTTTCTGTTCTCTGAGTTATCTATTGGGGTTTTCAGATGACTTTTCTTCCCCTTGAAGTGTATAACAAGTGTGAATTTCTGGGACCAATGAAATACTCTGAAATAGAGAAGAAAGTGGCATTTGTTGCCAGTCTAGTGGCAAGACAGAACAGCTGCTATCTGCTTCTGTGTCACCAGAGCTTTTTTCATTTTTTCCTAAAACCAGATCCCATTGGAAGTTGGCTGGTGGTGAAGGGGTTATGGTTTTTGAGGTTAAACAATAGCCGAGTTCTCTGTTCAGGACCAAGCCAGTCTGAAATAAACACAGTAGTGGCGTGTGCTTGGTGGTTTCAGTTGTCAACTTGACACACCTGCAAAGAGGGAACTTCAGCTGGAGACTTTCCTCTATCAGATTGGGCTGTGTGAATGTCTTTGAGATATTTTCTTGATTTTTGAGTGATGTGTGCAGGCCCAGTCCATTGAGGGTAGTGTCATCCCTGGGCAAGTGGTCCTGGGTTGTCTAAGAAAGCAGGCTGAGCACAGGCCAGAAGAGCAAGGCAAAAAGCAGGCTCCTCCATGGTCTTCAGTTCCTGCCTCCAGGTTCCTGCCCCGAGTTCTTGCCTAAATGTCCCTTGGTAATAGAATGTGATCTATAAGTCAAATAAACTCTCTCCTCCCCAAATAATTTTTTGTTAGAGTTTTATCATAGCAATAGAAAACTAATACAGAAGTTGATAGCAGAGAGTCGACTATTGCTGTGACAGACCTGACCATATTGTTTGGGGGTGGATTATGGAAGTGTTTGGGGCTGTTTGTGTGCTAAGCTGAAACAGAAAATATATATATTTTCGGCTTACTACAAATGTATAGGGGTAAAATTAAACCATGTACATTTTTCCCCTCTTAGGACACTCAAAACCTCACCCAGTCTCAGCTTCAAAAGTACTCATATGCCAAAGAAAAAACATTCAAATCTATTCTGAAATTTCCTATCAACGCTTCAAATTCAAGTAAGAATTGCTTCATTTGTAAAACATTCAACTATACTCTCTTATTCAATGGCATTTATATAATAGCTATAAAAATTTAAAGCTTACAGTTTCAGTATTTAAAATTTTTTGAGCTGGGCTTGGTGGCACACACCTTCAGTTCAAGCACTCAGGAGGCAAAGACAGGCAGAGCTCTGTGAAATCAAGACTAGCCTGGTCTACATAGCGAGTTCTAGGACATCTGGGGCTATTAGGGAGACTAAGAGACAAAACCAAAATTTTTTGGTAAGGACTAAAGCATATAGTTATATAATATTATAAACTGAAAAATTGTTGACTTAATGCCATCAGAAAGTCAATAATGTGATTTTATCTACTCAAGCAGTTTGACTTTTTAAATTTAAGAAGATGTATGTTAATAAGGGTAATAAAGAGCTTTCACGGTAGAGAAATCAGGGTGTTTTATTAATATTTTTCTCCTGATTTCTCTTTGGAACAGACTCTATTAAAAATACATCACTGATTGAATCAGCTGCTGCTTTTTCTTCCCAACCATCACAGAAATGCTTGTTGGAAAAAACTGATATCATCACAGGGGAAGAGGCAGAACACAATGTGCTGAAGGTTTGTGTATTATGTATTGCTTTTTCTGGAATTACTTTGCCTACATAGACTAAAGCTACCATCAGAGGGATATCTTCAAAAACACAAACAGAAATACAGTTTTCATGAAGACTGAATTGCCTAAACAAAAATGTTGAAGGCATAGAAAGTTTAAACCAACATTTGTTTTCTTAAATTTGTCTTTGTGTATTTTCAGGAGGATGGGCCACTAGGTTTGCAAGTATTCATTTTAATCTTTTACAAAAAAAGGCAAGGATCCTAAATTTTGGATCCTTTTGCCTCAGCCTCCTGAATTCTGGAATTCTGAGTGCATGGTAGGCTAGTCCTGTCTTAAAATAACCAGACTCCATGTCACAGTTTTAAAGTCTGCTTTCATAATCAGTGCTATTATGATGATAGATTAATTTTATTTCTACTGAAGGATTTTAAATGTTCATAAGATGACTTGATTTCAGTTAAAGATGAAGACCTTTTCCTTTTAAAAAGTTTAGCATTTTGTATTCTAAATCGAGAATTTCCCAGGTGCACCCTATCATATTTGAGAGCGTGTATAAGGTACCTCTCTAACCTTATCACTTTTTAAAGACAAGGGTTTCTCTTCACCTTTATCTTCTCTGCCCCAAATTCTCACCAGTCCCCTTTGTTTTCCTCTATGAACTAAGGGTGTTTTCACTCTAAAAAAGTATGTAATTGAAGTAATTGCTAGGAATAAAGCCCTGACATCCTACATTTTCGACTTTATGTACAGGTTATTTCTTGTACATACAAGTATTTGAGGACTGACAATCATTAAATCATAGTAGGGGACCCTGTGGTATGATACCAATTCTCCAAGTTCTTGTTCCACGTCTGAAACACTTCAGCATGCAAATCATTTCATGATTCATTTACTTTACAATATTACGTGGCACGAACAATATGAAGTTTGATGCAAAAGTTATAGAAACATACTAAATGAGAAATCACTAAGTACTTATGACATTATATGATTTTAGATTAAAAAAGAAGAGGACATGTATGTATCAGTATGTCTATACCTACAAACATGTCTGGAAGGGTAAATAAAATAAATAGTGATTATTTGAAATAGGAAATGGAGATCAAGGGTGGGGGACCCTTTTGACTTTGTGTTTTTATTATTTTGCAATTTGAACTATTCAAAGATTATATGTTCTTAAAAGTTAAACAAATCTCAAAATCTAGTTAACTAATTATTAACAAAAGTTAATCTAGTAGCTAGACATGTTGATGCTCACTTTTAGTTCCAGCACTTGGGAGGCAGAGGCAGGCAGATCTCTCGTGAGTTAGAGGCCAGCCTGATCTATATAGTGAGTTCCAGGCCACCCAGGGCTGTATAATGAAACTTTGTCTCAAAAAAGAAAAAGAAAAAGTAAGAAAGAAAGATAGGTAGATAATCTAGTAAAAGATAAGACAGATATAAGTGTTAGAGCCTAGGAAAGAATTTAACCTGAAAAAATAAAAATTGTCGTTTAGGTCAACTGCAAGATTTTTATACTCAACAAAATAACACAATCCTGGACTGAAAGAGGCAGAGGAATTCTGAGACTGAATGACACAGCAAGCACTGACTGTGGAACACTACAGTCAAGACTAAGTAAGGAACAATGTCGTAAAGTAAGCCATGATTTCCCAGGGTAAAACTTCTCATACAGGTACACACTGCTTTCTGGAGATGCACTATAAACACACCAATAAATCAGATGGCTGAAAACAATACTTCTAGTGTACTCTAGGGCTTTTAAGGAGGCTCACTTAACAGACAGCATGGGTTCCAGTTTTGCCTCACAACTGACTGACTAATGACCTCAAAGAAATGGCTTGATCTCTCTGTGGCTAAGCCACTTGAATTAAAAATGAGTAATTGCAGTTCATGGCTTTTTCAGTGATTGCGAGGATTTGATGAGATATTGTGTTTCAAGCCTTTTGATCAAAAGATATGAGAATTTGATGTTATTGCCTATAAAGCCCCTGTGACAGGGCCCAGCACATACCAAAATAGCAATATTATTATTATTGGAAGGAGTAAGAAGCAGATAACTTTGTAAAGTAAAAAGTCTGGCAGAAATACCTTTCTTATCATGTATTCTGACATTCCAAATACAGTGGGGTTGGGATGAAAGGTCAGTTTCTAAGGAAGCAAGTGAGTGACTACTGACTTCTGCAGGCAGACAGGTGATCAAATGCTGGAGGCAGCCAAGCTGAAAGATTCCAGATGTTTGGCATCCAACAGGGCATGCTGGGCTCTGTCCAGAGGCCCAAACCAGAAGTGAACACTGGCAAAGAATTGGTGGAGTGAATCCTCTTGCAAGTCAGTTCTAAGGGACTGAAGTTTTGAAGGAAACTATAAGTAGAACCTGGATCCAAGTGTATGAGTATTTGTTAAGTTTCAGATATCAATCTCAAGAATTGGGCAAGGAATAGAATTCAGATCAAAAGAATAGGAACACTGTTCTCAGTTTTGGAATGGACAAACAGGCTGCTAAATAATGCAATCAAGCGACATTTCCAAGGCAGTGCTACCTGTTTTCTACTCTTGTTTAACTCTACTCCTTGCTAAAAAAATTATATAACTAAAATACCCAGCTAAAATAACTTTTCTTTTTGTTATATGGGTAATACGTGTTCACTATAGAAAAGAGAAAATATGGATCAACAAAAAGAATAAATAAAATCATATAAATACCTATTTTCCAACGATACATTCTTATGGACTTTATTCTTTGTACGCATATGTGTCCATAGATTGTAAAAGTGTGATTAATGGTATTCTATTGCTCTGATATTTTCTTTTACCTCGCATACCATGGTCATCTTCCCACATGAGTATTCTTAATGACCTCATAATATTCTATTGGCTGCACTGTAATTTACTTAATTGAATATTTTGGACACTTATTGTGTCCAAATATTTTTAGTTCAGCTTTTTCCATTGCAAACAATTCTTGGATAAATAATCTTCAGGCCACCAGGTCTTAAAAGTACTTCTTAATAGTAACTGATTAAAGTATTAAGAAAAAAATATAGTTCTAGCACTGAAATTACAGTAATAAAGGCTCTCTTTTATAAGGCTCAAATTTTAAAATCAAGTTATAATCTATTCAAATTACAACTTAATAGTAAAAACATAGTCTGAAAAACAACTACAGGACTTATTTTTTCTATAAACAATTGTGAATTTTTAATGAAGGCTAAGGCATTGAGAACTCTGATATGGTCATCTTCCTGCTGCAGTCATGCGCAATCAAGGCAATCTGAGGCTGATCCTCAATAGCAAACTCTGGGCTCAGATGAAAATTCAAAGAGCAAACCAAGAAAATTTGCGAATAACTGCTACTGATTTAGAAGACTATGGTATTAAAGTATTTTTAATTCAGGTAAGTGACATGTTTCCACTATGAAGGATCATCTAATAATATATTAATCAGCTTCCTGCAATTCCCAATTTTTTTTTGCATTTTACTATCATAACCTGCATGTTTGATGAAGAAATCAGCCACTCATTATGGTTGTTTACAGTCTAATATATAACTTTTATATATAATTATGTAGAAATTGATACTAAAGTCTAGAGTAATCAATTGTTGTCCATTCTAAGACATCTGGATGATGTTTCCCATAACATTTTCTTTACTACTGAAATTGTCAACAATTCCTCTAAGTTCTCAAAGTGACTACATTGTCAGGAATGGCTCCTACAAGGTCAGAAGAATTCTGACCTGCCACTTTATACTGCCACCTAGATAGAAGACTCTGGGATCACAGCCAAGGAACCAGAGAGGAATGGAAAAACACAGGGCTAGCAAGTTATAACAACCAGTTCAACAGCAAATTCCAATTCTGAACATGAGTAAATCTCCAAGGTAACAGGATGGTAGCGCAGCTGAGCTGTTCTGGGCAGCAGGAATGCCTGACCTCAAACACAAGATACAGATACAGGAGTGCTGCCAAGAGCAAAGCCTCTTCCCCGCCACCCACAACTCTGAACCTCCCCCACTCCTGGGTTTCTCCCACAGTCTGAGACCTGAAAGATTGAAAAAACCGAGTACCCAAATGATTTGGAGTAGGTGATAAGTAGATAGGCTTCCACACAATAATGGAGAAAAAGTTGATGTGTAATGAAAACCAGCTCTAAGTGCTTTGTCAGATATAAGTGACTTTGAATACTAAAGTGTTAGGATAAATTCAATCTTAAGCACCACACCCCAAAATTAGAATAAGATGATGAATCTTATTTATCATTTAGGGAGCTAATACTCCATCCCCCTGGTTTTCAGTGGGCAAAGCAATGTAGCAAAAACTGAGATTGAGTGTGTTCATCATAATTAGACTGCTACTCAGTGCTTGATTCATGCTGATTTCCAAATTATGGGATAGTTACAAGAGACAAGCAAACCAAATAAAAATCACTCATTATCAACATTTTAGTAACTATTAGCATTTTAATCTTACACCACACAAGTTAAAAGCTTTGATTAGAAAAATTGGTATCCAAAATGCTCCAAACTCCAAAACTTTTTGAGCTTCAACATGGAAAGTTCCACACCTGACCTTGTGTGATGGATCACAACCAACACACAGACGCACTAAAATACTGTATAAAATTACTGGGGCTGGAGAGACGGCTCAGTGGTTAAGAGCACTGGCTGCTCTTGCAAAGGACCTGGCTTTGGTTTCCAGCACACATATGATGGCTGGCACGGCATGACACAGATGCACTTATATACACACAGGCAAACATGTATACACAAATAATAAAATACCATATAAAATTACCTACAGACTATGTAAGGTGTATATGAACCATAAGTGTGGTTCGACTTGGATCCCATTCCCAAGGTATCTCTTATATGTGCAAACATTCCAAAATAAGAAAACACACACACACACACACACACACATATATATATATATGCATGCCATAGTCACCATAAGGTGTAATGACTTTCAGACAAGTTGCTTACCTTTCCTTAAACTGTTTACTCACATGCAAAATGAAGGGGACATCTTATTTTATGAAGTACTGAGAAGAAGTACTGCTTATTCCTCAAAAAGTCTTTGTGCAGATGAAAGAAGTCTACTTTATCATGTACCCTCATTTACTTATCTTACTGCCCTGAACGACAAAAACCTAGGATTCAGGTCCCAGCAACTTGCCCAGTGGTTGTAAGTTAGACAAGTCATTTTATCCTTCTCAGAGTTTGCTCATTTGTAAATGGATAAAGAAATGAGTGCACCTGTGCTGTTTTTGGTAATGTAAATGGAAAAAATAAAGAACCCAATATTATCACAAGGGATTTACAAGACTGCAATTAATGCTATACCAATACTAAGTTATTTTCATTATTTTTACATTAATGGCAACCATAAAAATAACATGAGACAGTATTGGAAAGCATGACTTCTAAAAATATCACAGATTACTCATGAGTTTTGTTTCTCCACAGTGCTATGTGGCAAAGTGACAGAAAGGAAATTGGTCTTTTCCCCTTCACTCCTACAGTTTTCTCTAGTGTAAAATAATAGAGGAAGAACTGTCTTAGAGTATTTAAATTCAAATATAAATCTTAAATTTTAAAAATCTTACTTTCTCGATTTAAAATGTACAAATTGAGAACTCATAAAACCATTCACTTTAGGATACAATTTGGCTCAAATTAATTGGCTTTATACTACTTAACTTGTGAGGCTGTTAGCACTTGTTTCCACTCACGATTTACAAAATACAATTCCTTATTAATAGTAAAGATCAAACATCTGTAAATGTATCCAACACTGATACATTACTTATGGTCTTGACAACTTAATTTTTCTCACAAAGGCCAGTGCTAAAGATACAGGGCATCTGTATGCAGCAATACATCACCGTCTTCTTGCCCTCCGAAGCTTCAACAAGCAGAAAGAGGGTCATCAAGCTGAAAATCAGTCAGAAGCAGTCCTCCAGCAGTTAAACTGTGAGAGCTGTGATGAGGATGAGGATGAGGATAGTGACTTCACACAAGTCACTAACAATGGATCAGGTAAATAATTTTTGTTAGGTCAGAAGCTTAAATAAGAAATTGTATGCACAATCCAATATGTTGAATAGAATCTTCAGTAGTGAAACTGGTTTGTTTTAAGTGGTGCTTAGAGCTTGGCTGTATGGATCTGCGGTGTGGGTTAGAAAATCCTTATCTTCTAAGAGTGGTTTTTATGAGGATTTTACCAAGTCATTTGCCTATAAATGCCATACAAGATTATATTTACAATTTAAAATACTACATTACTGCCTTGAAACTAACACTACTCATGTTTGTTTCCCTGCTTCTCAGTCTATTATTGGCTATAATGGGAGGAATTAGAAACGCATGTAATGGGTCTCCAGGTAAATCTAGTTTAAAATCTCAAAGAAAATCTTGTTTATTCCCCTTTTGGAATTTAACTGCTTATAGGACTATAACTAAATTGTACAAGGTTTTTTTTTTTTTAATGTGTGTGAGTATTTTGCCTGCATCTACATACTGCACCATGTGTGTGCAATGACTGCAGAGGCAAAAAGAGGGTGTTGGATCCTGGAGCTGAAGTTACAAATGGTTGTTAGCTGCCATGTGAGTGCTGGGAACCAAATCCCAGTCCTCTGCAAGAGCAGCAGGTGCTCTTAACCATTGAGCCATCTCTCCAGCTCAATTGTACAAGTTTTCTCTGGAAGGTCCTCCTTCGCCTAGGGCAAAAAATTACTATTTCTTTTATTGTGTTGGAATTCACAAATAGGCTAAGGTGGAAACAGAGTCATCAGTAAACAGATTTCTGGAGTTTAGGGCTTGTCCTGATGTGTAACTTTAAAAGTACCACCTATTATTGGTGGGGGCACTATCAAAGAACTCAACTTTCTTATATGGACATAGCTATTCTAATAATCAGCCAAGTATTTTCAATGACCATTATACTTATCTCTGAATTCTGTTTTATAGTAATATCTTAAATTTATCACAGATCCTTCAAGGTGGACCCACAGACAGTCAGTGGCCTGTTCATGAACACTACCTACTATAAACATGACATCTACAAGATTGGCCACTCTACTGAAAATACCAGACCATCCTAACTAAATCAGAAGATTCTATTCAGGCCCTGAAAAGTTTTTATAAATAATTAAAGAATAATTTCTTGCAATCAAAACTTTTATGTTTCACATTTTATATTTTGATTATTGTGTAGAAAATAACAGAATTTAAGAAATGAACTTCAGAAGATCAAAACTTGACAATTTTTGTGGAAGTTAATTTAGAATAGGATTTGATAACTAATTTGGATTACTCATCACATTGATGGTTATAATACTTGAAAGTATAAATTGTTGGATTTGAGAATATCTAAAGTATTTATTCCAATCATATATTGTCTGACTAAAACAAATATTTTACCAAATTTTCAATCATTAAAAATACTATAGTTACCTGATAACATTTCATTACATCATGTTTATCTTCTGAGAAATGTCTATTTTCATTTAGCCTTTGGATTTCCTAATTCCATAAGCTTATACATTCAAGCATGGATTCCTTTACAAAAGTTTCTGATCTTGGACTTGTACCCATTACATCTTGTGTGCTTGACTTACAGTCAGGCAACAATAGTTGATGAATGACTAAACAAAATGTAAAGTATTACCTATATATCAGAAAAGTATACATAAGCCATGTTAACTTGTTCTTTGCTTTATGTATGCAATTGTCATTAATATTCTAGAAGGTGTGGCTATATAGAAACTTTAAAAATAACAAATGTACTATATACAACCAAGTAAATATTTCTCTTAAATTTGATTACTGTGGTAGGCTCTAGAAATTTCAATAATTTTGCAGGAGATATTTTGTTGTGCTTCTTTTGTGATTTAAGAAACACTTTATGAATAACACAAGAAAATTAGTTTCAGTACTCTAACTGTATCTTATTAGAAGTCCTATATAATTCCCCCATTTAGGGGAGATAGATTCATGTTCCCAAACGATTTCTGAATGCTTTTTGAACCATGACATATTTGTAATAAGGGTATAACTTTACAAACTGCTACTGTGAAGAAATACTCACTTGGAAGTGTACACATGGATATATATTTTAAAAGTTAACATTATTGCCTTAACAGTAATAAAAGCTTATGTATGTATGTATTTATTAAGCCAAACCTCAGCATATACCTAAAGGTTTAGTATACAATAGCAGAATTAATTCTAATTTTAGCATATGACTTAATATGTTTAGAAGAACAAAGAAAAGGTATAGAGATGAAGGGAAGGATTAAAAACAGATATTTAAGATTATTTCTTTCTCTTCCCACTCTACCCCACTGAAGAGATCCAGAAAAGTAACTAATGTAAAACATAGTGAATTCTTATTAAAAATATAATATAAACAGGGAAACATTTGAGAAAGATATGAAAGTATTGGTTCTCCTATAAAATCTTACCTATGTGGGAACATTGTAATTGTATATAATTGTTAAAGTGAAGTAGAAATTAGAGATTTTCTTTATCTTCTTGGCATGTTCATTCTTGTTCCCTTACTAGGGTGGAAAAAAAGCAAGATTTTCTCAATGTTTCAAATCTTTTAATATAAGTTGATTTTCTTTTGTTTTCTCTGCACATGGCAAAGGAGGAACAGAAAAACTTGTGATTTATATGGAATTGCTGGTGAAACAGAATCAATAGGATTAGACTATCAGGCAGGCAGAGGCTGGGCAAATTTCAGGATTACAAACAGCTACAAAGAGCAGAAACACAGTATGAGCCTGATGACATTTTGACAACAGAAACATTGTACGGTGTGTTCCTTGCCCTTTATCATCACCTAGATTCCTCCTTTTTGTCTTTTCTACATCTTTAACCTCCTTTTGATGGGAAATGATCAATTATACAATACTTTCATTTACTGAGATGTGATTTCAATGCCTACATTTTGGATTTCCATAGAAGCTACTTTTACTAAAATTTGATTAACTATTTTTCAATATATTATGTATGTATCTAACATTATATCTAATTACATATCTTATGTTAAGATAATCGAAACATTTTCTTTCAATAGTATTTACTACAATTGTTCAGATTAACTATGGATCATTAAATTGTTTTCTGCTAAAAAGCATTATTTTATACCCATTACTACCAAACCAAGGAGTCCTTCATCCCAAGGAAAAAATACCCTATGCAAGTCCTAGGATAGATGAACGTCATAAAGAGAGACATGGGGTCTGGAGAGATGGCTCATCAGTTAAAAGCACTGGCTGCTCTTACAGAGGACCCGGGTTCAGTTCCCAGGACTCACATGGCAGCTAACAACCATAAGTAACTCCAGTTCCAGGAGATGTGACACCCTTTTCTGACCTCCATGGGCATTGCATGACATGGTTGCACTTACATACTTGCAGGCAATACATTCATATGCATAAAATAAAAATAATAAATATTTTACAAAATAAAGAGAGGAATGTATCTTTCACAGGGTCATATGCACCTGTGTGGAGAGTTCTAGAGATTGGGAAGGATACATAATTAAGACATCTGGAAATCAAATTGTGTATATGTATGATATACAGTATCTCCCCTAAAATGTTAAGAACAATAATATTTGCTTAAGATGTGGCTATCATGCATTTCCTGGGTCATTTACTAGAAAAATACTGGCTTTACGATACCATACCACCGGGGTTCAATTCTGAAATTCAGCAGCATTAAAATTTCCTTTTTAGCTGTTTGTGACCATGTGAAACTGATATTCAGTCCAATGAATGTCACAAGTTTTTTGTTTTTGGTGAGATCACACCTTCCACACTGGTTAAGTTTTGACATCTGGCTTGTAATTATCAAACTGGAATACAAGGATATATTTCTAAGACAATATTTGCAAACTGTGGTACTGGTGGAATTATTGAAGTAACTGATGGTTTTGCCTAATAAGGGCTTGATGTTTTTATATTCTTCTAAAAAGTAGACTATCACTAGGATTTCTTTTTTAAAGTTTTACTATTTTTATTTCATGTTTATGTGTGCATTGCCTGTATGTAGGAAGTGCACCCATGTCCTGCAAGGCCTGCAGAGGTCAGAAGAGGGTGTCAGATCCCCTGGAACTGGAGTTATAGACAGTTGTTAGCCACCATGTGGGTGCTGGGAATCGAACCTGGGTCCTATGCAAAAGTAGCCTTTACAAGAGAAACCAGCGCTCTTAACCACTGAGCCATCTCTCCAGCCCTTGCATTTCTTAATTTCTATCAACCTAGTGGATTAAAAATTAGTAACTACGAGCTGGGTGTGGTGGCACATGCCTTTACGCACTCAGGAGGCAGAGGCAGGTGGATCACTGTGAGTTTGAGGCCAATCTGGTCTTCATAGTGATCGTAGGCCAGCTGTGGCTACAGAAGACCGTGTCTCAAAAAGACCAAAAAAAAAAGAAAGGTTTTTTGCCATTCATTCTTTTTTTTTTTTTTAAAAATTTTTTTTTTTTCCAAA